GAGACTATTAGACTATTACAGACTATTACAGACTTTTAGAGACTATTAGAGTAGTACAGACTATTAGAGACTATAAGAGACTATTAGAGACTAGTACAGACTATAAGAGACTATTAGAGACTATTACAGACTTTTAGAGACTATTATAGACTATTACAGTGTATTCGAGACTATTACAACCTATTAGAGACTATTACAGACTATAAGAGACTATTAGAGACTATTAAAGACTATTAGACTATAAGAGACTATTACAGAATATAAGAGACTATTAGAGTATTTGAGATACTATTAGAGACTATTAGAGACTATTAGACTATAATAGACTATTACATACTTTTAGAGACTATTACAGACTATTACAGTGTATTTGAGACTATTCGAGACTATTACAACCTATTAGAGACTATTAGAGACTATAAGAGACTATAAGAGACTATTAGAGACTATTAGAGTATTTTAGATACTATTAGAGACTATAAGAGACTATAAGAGACTATTAGACTATAAGAGACTATACCAGACAATTAGAGACTATTAGAGACTATAAGAGACTATTAGACTATAAGAGACTATTAGAGACTATAAGAGACTATAAGAGACTATTAGAGACTATTAGAGTATTTTAGATACTATTAGAGACTATAAGAGACTATTAGAGACTATACCAGACTATTAGAGACTATTAGACTATAACAGACTTTTAGAGACTATTACAGACTATTACAGTGTATTTGAGACTATTCGAGACTATTACAACCTATTAGAGACTATTACAGACTATAAGAGACTATATCAGACAATTAGAGACTATTAGAGACTATAAGAGACTATTAGACTATAAGAGACTATTAGAGACTATAAGAGACTATTAGAGACTATACCAGACTATTACAGACTATTACAGTGTATTCGAGACTATTACAACCTATAAGAGACTATTAGAGACTATTGTAGACTATTAAAGACTATTACAGACTATTAGAGTATTACAGACTATTAGATACTATTAGAGACTATTAGAGACTATTAGAGTATTTTAGATACTATTGGAGACTATAAGAGACTATTAGAGACTATACCAGACTATTAGAGACTATTAGACTATAATAGACTATTACAGTGTATTTGAGACTATTCGAGACTATTACAACCTATTAGAGACTATTACAGACTATAAGAGACTATTAGAGACTATACCAGACTATAAGAGACTATTACAGACTATAAGAGACTATTAGAGACTATACCAGACTATAAGAGACTATACCAGACAATTAGAGACTATTAGAGACTATAAGAGACTATTAGACTATAAGAGACTATTAGAGACTATAAGAGACTATAAGAGACTATTAGAGACTATTAGAGTATTTTAGATACTATTAGAGACTATAAGAGACTATTAGAGACTATACCAGACTATTAGAGACTATTACAGACTTTTAGAGACTTTTAGAGACTATTAGAGACTATAAGAGACTATTAGAGACTATACCAGACTATTACAGACTATTACAGTGTATTCGAGACTATTACAACCTATAAGAGACTATTAGAGACTATTGTAGACTATTAAAGACTATTACAGACTATTAGAGTATTACAGACTATTAGAGACTTTTAGAGACTATTACAGACTTTTAGAGACTATTACAGAGTATTAGAGACTATAAGAGACTATTACATATATTAGAGACTATTACAGACTATAAGAGACTATTAGAGACTATACCAGACTATTAGAGAATAATAATAATCCTTATATTTATTATAGCGCTTTATCAATGACTCTCAAAGCGCTTTACAGATACACATTACACATACAGATCATACATACATGTAATGGTCATCTACTGTGGACAATACCCACAGGAGCAAATTCGGGTGAAGTGTCTTGCCCAAGGACACAACGGCCTGACGCAGTGGGGGCGGGAGCGGGTTTCGAACTGGAGTTCACCAACGCCCCCTTGATCTGATGATCAAACGCACAGACCACTGCGCCACCCGTCCCTATAAGAGACTATTAGAGACTATTACAGACTATAAGAGACTATTAGAGACTATTAGAGACTGTTACAGACTATTAGAGACTATACCAGACTATTAGATACTATTAGAGAATATTAGAGACTATAAGAGACTATTAGAGACTAATAGACTATAAGAGACTATAAGAGACTATTAGAGACTATAAGAGACTATTACAGACTATTACAGACTTTTAGAGTAGTACAGACTATTAGAGACTATACCAGACTATTACAGACTTTTAGAGACTATTACAGACTATTACAGTGTATTCGAGACTATTACAACCTATTAGAGACTATTAGAGACTATAAGAGACTATTAGACTATAAGAGACTATACCAGACTATACCAGACTATTACAGACTTTTAGAGACTATTACAGACTATTACAGTGTATTCGAGACTATTACAACCTATTAGAGACTATTAGAGACTATAAGAGACTATTACAGACTATAAGAGACTATTAGAGTATTTGAGATACTATTAGAGACTATAAGAGACTATTAGACTATAAGAGACTATTACAGACTTGTAGAGACTATTAGAGACTAGTACAGACTATAAGAGACTATTAGAGACTATACCAGACTATTAGAGACTATTACAGACTTTTAGAGACTATTCGAGACTATTACAACCTATTAGAGACTATAAGATACTATTAGAGACTATACCAGACTATAAGAGACTATACCAGACAATTAGAGACTATTAGAGACTATTAGACTATAAGAGACTATTATAGACTATAAGAGACTATTAGAGACTATTAGAGACTATAAGAGACTATTAGAGTATTTTAGATACTATTAGAGACTATAAGAGACTATTAGAGACTTTTAGAGACTATTAGAGACTATAAGAGACTATTAGAGACTATACCAGACTATTAGAGACTATTACAGACTTTTAGAGACTATTACAGACTATTACAGTGTATTCAAGACTATTACAACCTATTAGAGACTATTACAGACTATAAGAGACTATACCAGACAATTAGAGACTATAAGAGACTATTAGAGACTATTGTAGACTATTAAAGACTATTACAGACTATTAAAGTATTACAGACTATTAGAGACTATTACAGACTATTACAGACTATAAGAGACTATTAGAGACTATACCAGACTATTAGAGACTTTTAGAGACTATTACAGACTTTTAGAGACTATTACAGACTATTAGAGACTATTAGAGTATTAGAGACTATAATAGACTATTACAACCTATTAGAGACTATTACAGACTATAAGAGACTATTAGAGACTATACCAGACTATTAGAGACTATTACAGACTATTATACTATAAGAGACTATTAGAGACTATTACAGACTATTACAGACTATTACAGACTATTAGAGTCTATTAGAGTATTACAGACTATAAGAGGCTATTAAAGACTATTAGAGACAATTAGAGACTATTACAGACTATTACAGACTATAAGAGACTATTAGAGACTATTAGACTATAAGAGACTATTACAAACTATAAGAGACTATTACAGACTATTAGAGAATATTAGAGACTATTAGAGACTATTACACTATTAGAGTATTACAGACTATTAGAGAATATAAGAGACTATTAGAGACTATAAGAGACTATTAGAGACTATTACACTATTAGAGTATTACAGACTATTAGAGAATATAAGAGACTATTATACACTATAAGAGACTATTAGAGTATTAGAGTCTATTACAACCTATTAGAGACTATAAGAGACTATTATAGACTATACCAGACTATTAGAGACTATACGAGACTATATGAGACTATTAGAGACTATTAGAGACTATTACAGACTATTACAGACTATACCAGATTATTAGAGACTATACCAGACTATTCGAGACTATACCAGACTATTAGAGACTATTAGAGACTATAAGAGACTATTAGAGACTATTACAAACTATTAGAGACTACTACAGACTATAAGAGACTATTAGACTATAAGAGACCATGAGACTATTAGAGACTATTCCAGACTATTAGAGACTATTCCAGACTATAAGAAACCATAAGAGACTATTAGAGACTATTACAGACTATTAGAGACTATTAGAGACTTTTAGAGACTATTACAGACTATTAGAGTATTACAGACTATCAGAGACTATAAGAGACTATTAGACTTATAGAGACTATACCAGACTATTAGAGACTATTAGATACTATAAGAGACTACTAGAGACTATTACAGAGTATTACAGCAATAGAACTATTAACAAAGCACTTATATACTAATAAAGGACTGGCTTACCTAAAGCCAGTTGAGTAGCACTTGAAATGTGTTTGCTCTATGAAACCTGATGTTCTTTATGATTCTGTTTTCTTCAAGTTTGTATTTTGTTGGTCGAACGCACTTATTGTAAGTCGCTTTGGATAAAAGCGTCAGCTAAATACAATGTAATGTACAGACTATTACAGACTATTAGAGTATTAGAGACTATAAGAGACTATTACAACCTATTAGAGACTATTACAGACTATAAGAGACTATTAGAGACTATACCAGACTATTAGAGACTATACCAGACTATTAGAGACTATTAGACTATTAGAGACTATACCAGACTATTAGAGACTATACCAGACTATTAGAGACTATTACAGACTACTATAGACTATTACAGACTATTAGACTATTACAGACTATTACAGACTATTAGAGACAATACCAGACTATTATAGACTATTACAGACCATTACAGACTATTAGAGACTATTACAGACTATTACAGACTATTAGAGAATATTAGAGAATATTAGAGACTATTAGAGACTATTATATACTATTAGAGACTATAAGAGACATTTACACTATTAGACTACTAGAGACTATTAGAGACTATACAATACTATTAGACTACTAGAGACTATTAGAGTATCTATTAGAGACTATTACAGAGTATTGAAATATGAATCATTTGAATGTCCCCCCCCCAGCAGAGACACATGAAGACAGCACTCTGATGAAGGATCAGCGCTTCATGGACTCGGCCTCCGTCACCCCCCGCCCCCCCCACCCCGGCAGCACCCCTCGACGCCTCGCCTCCCCCCCCTCAGAGCCGGGGGCCAAGCATCCCCTACGACAGGTGGAAGGTACGCATGTGATATATAAACCACTAATGTCTCATGGTGGGGGGGTCAGGGGTAGATCCTCACAGGAAGTGACCTCACAGGAAGTTACCCTCGCCGCTGTTAGCTAGTTAGCAGCTGTAGTGGCCGAGTTTGCATAATAGAATGTTCAAAGTCCACTTAGTATTGACTCGCGTAAACTTAAAGAAATCCAAATCAATCAATCAATGTTTATTTGTATAGCCCAATATCACAAATGTTATATTTGTCTCAGTGGACTTCACAGTCTGTACAGAATATCAGTATGACAATAAACGGAGGCGTGTGGCGCAGTGGATAGAGCCTTGTTGTTGGGATCAGGGGTCACAGGTTCAAACCCCACTGCAGTCAGCATGTCGTTGTGTCCCTGAGACACTTCACCCCAAATTGCTCCTGTGGGGATTTTCCACAGTATTGAGTATGTGAGTCGCTTTGGATAAAAGCATCTAACAAGTAACATGTAATCACAATACGACACCCTCTGTCCTTAGACCCTCACATCGTACAAGGAAACACTTCCGGACAAAACCCACAGTTTAAAGGGGAACATGGGAGAAACCTCAGGGAGAGCAACAGAGGAGGGATCCCTCTCCCAGGACGGACAGACGTGCAATAGATGCCGTGTGTAAATTGAAAAGATAATACATTTGCAACATAGGTAGACCGAATGTTAGGAAATGCATGTGTGTATAATAGGAAGATGAATCCACGAGGATGTCAGCAATCATGTGGGAGCCATCAGGGAAGTAGTATGGTGAGAGTCTGGCAGGACCGCAGAGACAGGTTCAGCCACGACTCGAAGTCCAGGACTCGAAGTCCAGGACTCAGGATCACCAAAAAGAGATTTGGGGAAGCTGGGTTATTCGGAACATGAGAGTACACAGGTACAGATAGAGAGAAGGAAGAAGTAAGGTGTCCCCTCAACAGTCTAAGCCTATATCAGCAAAACTAGAGGCTGAATTACACTGGCTTCCAGTCTGCCAAAGAACTGGTTTTAAAATACTACTGCTAGTTTTTAAATCACTAAATGGCTTAGGACCGAGGTATATAGACGACCTCCTCCATCACTATGAAGCATCCAGGAGTCTCAGGTCCTCTGGGTCGGTCTGCTCTCTGTTCCGAGAATAACCACTAAACATGGAAAAGCAGCTTTTAGTCATTATACCCCAACAATCTGGAACAAACTGCCCACATCGTGCACGTCCGCCGAAACACTTCCTATTTTGAAATCCATTCTAAAAACGCACCTATTTGCCGCTGCTTTTAATTGAGCTGCCCATACTCACACTACAGTATGCCTTTCAGTCATGTATTCTGTACCTTCTGTGTTTATTTAATTAATTTAATTATCTTTTTATGCCTGTTTTTAAATGCCTTTTTAATAATGTATTTATGCTGTATTTGTTCTTAAATGTATTTTGCTTTTAATCTGTAAAGCACTTTGAATCGCCACGTGCTGAAAAGTGCTATATAAATAAAATGGCCTTGCCTTGAATATAATCAGCCCTAACTATAAGCTTTATCAAAAAGGAAGGTCTTCAGCGCACTCTTAAAAACGGATAGGGTGTCTGCCGCCCGAACACAAACTGGAAGCTGATTCCACAAATGTGGAGCTTGATAAGAAAAGGCTCTGGCTCCCATTGTACTTTTAGAGACTCTAGGAACAACCAACAACCCTGCATTCTTGGAACGCAATGCCCTAGTAGGACCAAATACCTTGCATTGTTCCATTCACGTGCTTTACTCCATTCAAGTGATCAGCTGGCGGCTCACTGTCGACTTACAACATTTGCACGGCAGTTAAATAAAATAAACAAACAAGCCAACAGGCGTACGGATGTGTGCGGTCTGAACCTTTTCAGACTTCCTCTCTAGGCTTCCTGCTGTGTCATGTATGCTCAAGAGCATTCTGCTTTCTATAAATAATAACATAAAACTAGAGCAGTCCATAAGCAAAACAAGACGTTACAGAAACTTTATAATTATAATTCATAGTTATTCAGCAATTGGGTCATCAACACATACATTACCATGAATAATGGGCCTAAATGGCTCTTACAGCAGCCCTGCTCATTAACCAATCAGTGAGCAGTGGATTCCTCTGAACAGCTGTGTGTGTGTCCGTCCGTCCGTCCTTTGGGTACACTGAGCATCGGGACTCTTATCAGTATATAGCTCCAGATGTTACTTTGAGCTCCTCTAATGCACAGTGTGTTCTCCAGCAGCCAGCTCCACCACGGGGCCCGAGGTGGGGGGGGTCTCTGAGGGTCCCGGCAGGAATCCGTCCTGCTGGAGCATCGAGGAGGTGATGCAGTTTGTGAGGGAGGCCGACCCGGCAGCGTTAGCCCCCCACGCCGAGCTCTTCAGGAAACATGTGAGTTCCTTTCATAATAAGAGACTCTCAGGAGCCTCTGAGTGTCTGCATGTTGGTTCTAAAGAGCCTCTGAGTGTCTGCATGTTGGTTCTAAAGAGCCTCTGAGTGTCTGCATGTTGGTTCTAAAGAGCCTCTGAGTGTCTGCATGTTGGTTCTAAAGAGCCTCTGAGTGTCTGCATGTTGGTTCTAAAGAGCCTCTGAGTGTCTGCATGTTGGTTCTAAAGAGCCTCTGAGTGTCTGCATGTTGGTTCTAAAGAGCCTCTGAGTGTCTGCATGTTGGTTCTAAAGAGCCTCTGAGTGTCTGCATGTTGGTTCTAAAGAGCTTCCTGTGGGGAAGGAGTTCTTCTGATTTATTAAACTGGGAATGTGGATCTTCAAATCCTGATTAAAGCCTTCATACAGAATGTGAACCCCGGGTTGTAGGAACACAGAACCATCGAGCACAGCCTTCTTCCGTCTGATCTGAATTGATCTAATCTAGTTCTCATGTTTCAGGAGATCGACGGCCGGGCCCTGCTGCTGCTGCGCAGCGACATGATCATGAAGTACATGGGTCTGAAGCTGGGCCCCGCGCTGAAGCTGTGTCACCACATCGAGAGGCTGAAGCAGGGCCGGCTGTGAGGGGGGCCACAACCAGCAATAACCCAGGGGGGCCACAGAACCACCAGGGGGGCATCCAGGGTCTCAGGGCCACCAGGGGGGCCACTGGGCATCGGGGGCCCCATGTTACTGCAGACTCTGAGGGCCACACCTCCAGAGGGGAGACACCTCACCCTCAGGATAACGTGCATCCCAAAGGCCTGCAGTGTTTACAGTGATCCTCGTGCACGTGGCCCTCGTGCACGCTCCCAGGCTAACGACTGACTGATCCGCAAACGGAGAATGTTTCTTCTTCTTCTCCTGTTTTTACTCCCGTTGACTCCCACTGACTCCCAGGAGCCTCAAATCTTTATTGTTATGATCACATGACGGAGACTGGTCACATGTCAACCTGCAGGACGGGGGGGTCTATCACCTGGACTTCATTCCGTTTCCTCCTCCAGAGAGGCTTTTATTATGTTAGCTGCCAGCTTCCTGTGAGCTTCCTGCAGATCACCTGAAGACCTCCAGAACTCCTCTTCATCTTCATCATCAGGGATGGGAATCACTGAGACTTCTTATTTATGACCCGGGTCTTATGGGTTCCTGATCTGGAGATCGTGAGTCCTCCACAGGTCCTCCACAGGTCCTCCACAGGTCCTCCACAGGTCCTCCACAGGTCCTCCACAGGTCCTCCACAGGTCCTTTCAGAACAAAAGACCTCGGACCAGATGCAGTCAAATAAAGCTGAGAAACATTTAATAGTCAATGTTCCAACATGACTAACCCTATAATCTGAAACTCTGATCAAAACAAAAGAGATTTAAAAGTATATTTTTGAATCCTTGTTTTAATGAAATCATTCTCTTTTATGTAAAACAGAAACTTGTGTTTTGTAAAAACTGAAAATATTATTTTCTTTCGATCAAACTGAACTTTATTCTGTGTTTTAAAATAGATTTCAATTCACAAAGGGTTTGTGTTCACCGTTAATGAGAAGAGTTACGGTACGTCCACACGGTTCCGTTAGGGTAACGGAGACGCTTCCCATTCACTTTGAATGGGGTGACGTCACGCTTTGCCTCTGTTGCTCGTTTCAAAAGTTGAGAAAAGTTCAACTTTTCAAGCGTCGACAGAAACGCCAGCCAATCAAATGATATGCCAGTACAATCGCTAGCCAATCAAACCGCGTGCCTGTGTGTCCGGGGCGGGAGATGAATGTGATTGGTTGTTGGTCGCACGTCAGACACGCCCACCGGCAAGCTTCAATGCGACGGAACAGTGTGGACGTATAGACCCTAACCCAATGTGAACTATTTGTATGATCAAGGTTTCTGTAACAGCTGCAGATCAGGAGAGGAACATCTGACCCTCAGGTCCATTACCTGTAGCTCTCCTGTGGTTTAAGTGACAGTTCTGTCCGCTATTTAAAAAAACTCTAGACTATTGTAATAAATGAAAATAAGGACAGGGTCATGTTTAGCTTCTCTAAGGTCGTGTTGGACGTCCTGCAGATATCCCTGATCTTTGTTCTGAAGTCATGTTTCATTTCTGATCGTCATCCCGTTAATCCCTGTTAGCATGAGAACAGAAGTGTACAGTTTTATGGGTTTAACCATGAGTATCAGCGACAGAATGTACATTTTGTAGAAATATTTTAAGGAAATCACACACAGTTAGAAATGTGAAGATAAGGCTTCTCTTTGATAATCACTCGTAGTCACAGGTCTGCTTCCTGCAGCGTCTCTCAGGTCCTGCTCTTTGTAGCTGTTTCTAATATATAATAATTGACAGTCTTTGCTGTTACTCCTTCCTGCTTTCACAGTGCCATAAGATCCCCAGAGGGAGCCCTTCATCTCCTCGTCTTCTTCAGACTACTTGAACATATCTGTCCACCAGATAAACAGTGTGTTTCTGACGTTGTGTATTTACTTTTTATAAACCTGATAAAAACACCAAGACGTCTGTGTTTTCAATGAGTGAAAGAAGTGATTCAGAGGAGGTCTTTAAAGAGTCCTCTCCTGCTGATGTTCAGGTGTATATCAGTATGTAGTGTCTCTACTTTAAAGAGTCCTCTCCTGCTGATGTTCAGGTGTATATCAGTATGTAGTGTCTCTACTTTAAAGAGTCCTCTCCTGCTGATGTTTAGGTGTATATCAGCATGTAGTGTCTCTACTTTAAAGAGTCCTCTCCTGCTGATGTTCAGGTGTATATCAGTATGTAGTGTCTCTACTTTAAAGAGTACTCTCCTGCTGATGTTCAGGTGTATATCAGTATGTAGTGTCTCTACTTTAAAGAGTCCTCTCCTGCTGATGTTCAGGTTAATATCAGTATGTAGTGTCTCTACTTTAAAGAGTCCTCTACTGCTGATGTTCAGGTGTATATCAGCATGTATTGTCTCTACTTTAAAGAGTCCTCTCCTGCTGATGTTCAGGTGTATATCAGTATGTAGTGTCTCTACTTTAAAGAGTACTCTCCTGCTGATGTTCAGGTGTATATCAGTATGTAGTGTCTCTACTTTAAAGAGTCCTCTCCTGCTGATGTTCAGGTGTATATCAGTATGTAGTGTCTCTACTTTAAAGAGTCCTCTCCTGCTGATGTTCAGGTGTATATCAGTATGTAGTGTCTCTACTTTAAAGAGTCCTCTCCTGCTGATGTTCAGGTGTATATCAGTATGTAGTGTCTCTACTTTAAAGAGTCCTCTCCTGCTGATGTTCAGGTGTATATCAGTATGTAGTGTCTCTACTTTAAAGAGTCCTCTCCAGCTGATGTGCAGGTGTATATCAGTATGTAGTGTCTCTACTTTAAAGAGTCCTCTCCTGATGATGTTCAGGTGTATATCAGTATGTAGTGTCTCTACTTTAAAGAGTCCTCTCCTGCTGATGTTCAGGTGTATATCAGTATGTAGTGTCTCTACTTTAAAGAGTCCTCTCCTGCTGATGTTCAGGTGTATATCAGTATGTAGTGTCTCTACTTTAAAGAGTCCTCTCCTGCTGATGTTCAGGTGTATATCAGTATGTAGTGTCTCTACTTTAAAGAGTCCTCTCCTGATGATGTTCAGGTGTATATCAGTATGTAGTGTCTCTACTTTAGAGAGTCCTCTCCTGCTGATGTTCAGGTGTATATCAGTATGTAGTGTCTCTACTTTAAAGAGTCCTCTCCTGCTGATGTTCAGGTGTATATCAGCATGTAGTGTCTCTACTTTAAACAGTCCTCTCCTGATGATGTTCAGGTGTATATCAGTATGTAGTGTCTCTACTTTAAAGAGTCCTCTCCTGCTGATGTTCAGGTGTATATCAGTATGTAGTGTCTCTACTTTAAAGAGTCCTCTCCTGCTGATGTTCAGGTGTATATCAGTATGTAGTGTCTCTACTTTAAAGAGTCCTCTCCTGCTGATGTCCAGGTGTATATCAGTGTGTAGTGTCTCTACTTTAAAGAGTCCTCTCCTGCTGATGTTCAGGTGTATATCAGTATGTAGTGTCTCTACTTTAAAGAGTCCTCTCCTGCTGATGTTCAGGTGTATATCAGTATGTAGTGTCTCTACTTTAAAGAGTCCTCTCCTGCTGATGTTCAGGTGTATATCAGCATGTAGTGTCTCTACTTTAAAGAGTCCTCTCCTGCTGATGTTCAGGTGTATATCAGTATGTAGTGTCTCTACTTTAAAGAGTACTCTCCTGCTGATGTTCAGGTGTATATCAGTATATAGTGTCTCTACTTTAAAGAGTCCTCTCCTGCTGATGTTCAGGTGTATATCAGTATGTAGTGTCTCTACTTTAAAGAGTCCTCTCCTGCTGATGTTCAGGTGTATATCAGTATGTAGTGTCTCTACTTTAAAGAGTCCTCTCCTGATGATGTTCAGGTGTATATCAGTATGTAGTGTCTCTACTTTAAAGAGTCCTCTCCTGCTGATGTTCAGGTGTATATCAGTATGTAGTGTCTCTACTTTAAAGAGTCCTCTCCTGCTGATGTTCAGGTGTATATCAGTATATAGTGTCTCTACTTTAAAGAGTCCTCTCCTGCTGGTGTTCAGGTGTATATCAGTATGTAGTGTCTCTACTTTAAAGAGTCCTTTCCTGCTGATGTTCAGGTGTATATCAGTATGTAGTGTCTCTACTTAAAAAGTCCTCCCAGACCCTAAGGGAAGGAGGGTTACTCGGACCCTAAGGGAAGGAGGCCCTAAGGGAAGGAGGGCCACTCGGACCCTAAGGGAAGGAGGCCCTAAGGGAAGGAGGGCCACTTTGTCCCTAAGGGAAGGAGACCCTAAGGGAAGGAGGGCCTAAGGGAAGTAGCGCCACTCGGACCCTAAGGGAAGGAGGGCCTAAGGGAAGGAGGGCCACTTTGTCCCTAAGGGAAGGAGACCCTAAGGGAAGGAGGGTCATTCGGACCCTAAAGGAAGGAGACCCTAAGGGAAGGAGGGTCACTCGGTCCCTAAGGGAAGGAGACTGTAAGGGCCCTAGGGCATAGAAGGAGCTGGATAGAGAGGGTCAAAGGTGAGAGAGCACATCATATGCTAATGAGGCTAATGCTAACAGACAGGGTTTCTTCACAGCTGTTGGAGAGAGACGAGATGAAGACATTTAGAATAACAACGAGCCACAGGTTTATTTCAGAGTCACTTTTATTTCTTTGTCTCTGGTGACCGAGGGACAGGGCGACTAAATAAATACAAAGCGATCCACAGCTCAGATCAATGTAAACTTTAAAACATCTTTACACAAACAATTCGTCCACCTTCAAAACCTATCCATATATTTACAGATCTGTACAAAGAGGAAGAGGAAGAGGAGGGTCTATACGGAGTCACGCTAAGAGGACCAGGACCCCGTTTATTTGGTTCTGAACTAAAGTCACACTTTACTCTGAAATCTGACTTGTCCTCAGAAGCAGATGATGAGTCAGATCTTACAGACATGTCAACACGTGTCCTCGCTCTCTCCATGTGTAGAAGCATGGCTGCAGACGGCCTGAGTCCCGTATGTAAACACAGCCTGCCGGACGCGTGTCTGATATAACATCTCAACTCGTTGCGTGGCAGGTTTGAGCATTTGGTACAACATCCCATATTCCATCACCATGACAACCGGCTCGTTTTTAAACATACATCCTCCATCAAACCCAAACATCACAGAAACATGCTGAGGCCCACACTCCTCCTCCTCCTCCTCCTCCTCCTCCTCCTCCTCCTCCTCCTCCTCCTCCTCCTCCTCCTCCTCCTCCTCCTCCTCCTCCTCCTCCTCCTCCTGACGCCTCCTCCTACTCCTCCTGACGCCTCCTCCTCCTGACGCCTCCTCCTACTCCTCCTGACGCCTCCTCCTCCTCCTGACGCCTCCTCCTGACGCCTCCTCCTCCTCCTCCTCCTGACGCCTCCTCCTGACGCCTCCTCCTACTCCTCCTGACGCCTCCTCCTCCTCCTCCTCCTGACGCCTCCTCCTCCTCCTCCTCCTGACGCCTCCTCCTACTCCTCCTGACGCCTCCTCCTCCTCCTCCTGACGCCTCCTCCTGACGCCTCCTCCTCCTCCTGACGCCTCCTCCTCCTCCTCCTCCTCCTGCCAGTCACTTATTGCATTAGGATATGAACTGTAATAGTGAGCCATCTTTAATATCATCAGTGAAATATGAACTCTATGATGGACAGAGGAAACAGAAACACCTCTCTGTTGGAAGCGGAGCTGAAATGTTCAAAGGGTTTTTTGAAAGTGATCACATGAAGAAGAGGGGACACATGTTGATGTAGAAGAGACATGAAGAAGAGGGGACACATGTTGATGAAGAAGAGACATGAAGAAGAGGGGACACATGTTGATGTAGGAGAGACATGAGGAAGAGGGGACACATGTTGATGTAGAAGAGACATGAAGAAGAGGGGACACATGTTGATGAAGAAGAGACATGAAGAAGAGGGGACACATGTTGATGTAGAAGAGACATGAAGAAGAGGGGACACATGTTGATGTAGAAGAGACATGAAGAAGAGGGGACACATGTTGATGTAGAAGAGACATGAAGAAGAGGGGACACATGTTGATGTAGAAGAGACATGAAGAAGAGGGGACACATGTTGATGTAGAAGAGACATGAAGAAGAGGGGACACATGTTGATGTGGAAGAGACATGAAGAAGAGGGGACACATGTTGATGTAGAAGAGACATGAAGAAGAGGGGACACATGTTGATGTAGAAGAGACATGAAGAAGAGGGGACACATGTTGATGTAGAAGAGACATGAAGAAGAGGGGACACATGTTGATGTGGAAGAGACATGAAGAAGAGGGGACACATGTTGATGTAGAAGAGACATGAAGAAGAGGGAACACATGTTGATGTAGAAGAGACATGAAGAAGAGGGGACACATGATGATGTAGAAGAGACATGAAGAAGAGGGGACACATGTTGATGTAGAAGAGACATGAAGAAGAGGGGACACATGATGATGTAGAAGAGACATGAAGAAGAGGGGACACATGTTGATGTAGAAGAGACATGAAGAAGAGGGGACACATGTTGATGTAGAAGAGACATGAAGAAGAGGGGACACATGTTGATGTAGAATAGACATGAAGAAGAGGGGATACATGTTGATGTAGAAGAGACATGAAGAAGAGGGGACACATGTTGATGTAGAAGAGACATGAAGAAGAGGGGACACATGTTGATGTGGAAGAGACATGAAGAAGAGGGGACACATGTTGATGTGGAAGAGACATGAAGAAGAGGGGACACATGTTGATGTGGAAGAGACATGAAGAAGAGGGGACACATGTTGATGTGGAAGAGACATGAAGAAGAGGGGACACATGTTGATGTGGAAGAGACATGAAGAAGAGGGGACACATGTTGATGTAGAAGAGACATGAAGAAGAGGGGACACATGTTGATGTAGAATAGACATGAAGAAGAGGGGATACATGTTGATGTAGAAGAGACATGAAGAAGAGGGGACACATGTTGATGTAGAAGA